TGTCTTTATCTGGGTTTGGTATCAGGATAATGCTGGCTTGATAAATTGAATTTAGAAGTTTTTCTTCCTTTTCTGTATTTAAAAAACACTTTTTAAAATGTTTACTTATTTTTGAGAGAGAGAGAGAGAGACAGAGACAGAGACAGACAGACACAGGGCGAGCAGGAGAGGGGCAGAGAAAGAGAGACACAGAATCCAAACCAGGCTCCAGGGTCTGAGCTGTCAGCACAGAGCCCTACACGGGAGTCGAACCCATGAGCTCTGAGATCATGACCTGAGCCAGAGCTGGACGCTTAACCAACAGAGCTACCCAGACGCCCCTCCTTTTCTATGTTTTGAAGTAGTTTGAGAAGAACAGGCATTAATTCTTCATTAAATGTTTGGTAGAATTTGCCTGTGAAGCCATCTAGTGCAGGACTTGTTTGTTGGGAGTTTTTTTATTACAGATTCAATTTCTTTGCTGCTTATTGGTCTGTAGATTTTCTATTACTTCCTTTATTAGTTTTGGTAGTTTATATGTTTCTAGGAATTTACCCATTTCTTCTGGGTTGTCCATTTTGTTGGCAAATAGTTTTTCAAAATATTCGCTTAAAATTGTTTGTATTTCCATGTTGTTTGTTTTTATTTCTCCTCTCTCATTTGGGCCTATTTATTTGAATCCTTTCTCTTTTTTTCTTGATAAGTCTGGCTAGAGGTTTATCAGTCTGAATGATTTGTTTCACAGAACGAGTTCCTGGTTTCACTGATCTGTTCTAATGTGGGTTTTTTTGTTATGTTTCTATTTCATTTATTTTTGCTCTAAACTTTATTATTTCCTTCCCTCTGCTGGTTTTAGGTTTTGTTTATTCTTCTTATAAAACCTCCTTTTTGTGTAAGGTTAGGTTGTTTATGTGAGATTTTTCTTTTTTTAAATATAATTTACTGTCAAATTGGTTTCCATACAACACCCAGTGCTCATCGAATGAGTGCCCTCCACATCACCCACTTTCCCCTCTCCCCTGCCCCGCCATCAACACTCAGTTTGTTCTCAGAATTAAGAGTCTCTTATGGTTTACATACCTCCTCTCTGTAACTTTCTTTTTTCCCCATCCCTTTCCTCATGGTCTTCTGTTAAGTTTTTCAAGATCCACGTATGAGTGAAAACGTGCTGTCTGTCTTTCTCTGACTGACTTATTGCACTTAGCATGATAGCTTCCAGTTTCATCCACGTTGCTGCAGATGGCCAGATTTCATTCTTTATTTGAGATTTTTCTTGCTTCTTGAGGTAAACATGTTACTATAAACTTCCCTTTTAGAACATCTTTAGGTATGTCCCAAAGGTTTTGAACCATTGTGTTTTCCTTTTCCCCTTTTCCATGTAGTTTTTTATTTCTTCTTTTATTTCCTGGTTGACTCATCCATTGTTTAGTAGCAAGTTATTTATCCTCCATGTATTTGTGGTCTTTCCAGTTGTTTTTTTTCTTCTGGTTCACTCCTGGTTTCCTAGTGTTGTCAGAAAAGACGCATGGTATGACTTCAGTCTTTTTGAATTTGTTGAGACTTGTTTTGTGGCCTAATATTTGATCAGTTCTGGAGGATATTCCATGTGCACTTAAAAAGAAGGTATATTCTGCTGTTTTAGGATAGAATGTCCTGAATGTATCAGTTAAATCCATCTGGTCCATTGTCATTCAATGCGATTGTTTCCTTGTTGATCTCTGTTTAGATGATCTGTCCATTAATGTCACTGGAGTTTTAAAGTCCCCCCCATTACTGTATTATTAATGATTAGTTCCTTTACGTTTGTTATTAACTATTTTGTATATTTGGATGCTCCTCATTTTCTTAATTTTTAATTTTATTGTTAATGCCTTTTGTGTCTTGTCAAAGGAATCTTTGCCTATCTCAATGTTGTAAAGATAGTTCTGCTTTTCTCCATGAGGATATCTTATTACTCCAGGGCCATTTGTTGAAAAGACCAATCTTTCCCTACTAAATTGCAGTAGTTCCTCTGTTGTAAAATGAAGTATAAGTGTGAATGTATTTTTGGACTATTAGGTTTTATTGATCTGTTTGTCTTCATGCTAGTACTATACCATCTTAATTACTATAGCAAAGTAAATCTTAAAATCAGGTGGTATATTTTTTATCAAAATTATTTTAGGTATTTTATTTTATTTATTTATCTATTTTTTAAAGAGATTTTATTTTTTTTAAATGTTTTATTTATTTCTAGGAGAGAGAGAGAGACAGCGTGAGCAGGGGAGGGTCAGAGAGAGAGGGAGATACAGACTCTGAAACAGGCTCCAGGCTCTGAGCTGGCAGTCAGCACAGAGCCCGACGCAGGGCTCGAACCCACGAACCGCGAGATCATGACCTAAGTGAAAGTCGGACGCTTAATTGACTAAGCCACCCAGGCGCCCCTATTTTAGGTATTTTAGATCCTTTGGATTTCATATTACTTTTAGAATCAACTTGTCAATTTCTACAAAATAACTCCTGGGATTTTGATTAGGGTTATATTGAATATATAGATCTGTTTGAGGACAATGACGTCTTACTGCTGTTGGCGTCTTCTAATCCATGTACATTTAGCTCCAGTTAGGTCTTTAATCTCTCTTATCAATGTTTTGAAGCATTCTTAGGTAGAGTTTTTGCTGTTTTTCATTAAGTGAAAGATATTTCATTATTCCTAGATAATTGATTTATTTTTGATGTTGTGAGAGTGGTATTTTTAAAAAGATTCATCTTCCAAATGTTTGTTGCATGTATATAAAAATACAGTTTTAGTCTGTTAAGGATCTGGCTTTTGATTTGGCCTCAGGTTGTGGATCTCATAGTTAATGGGATCGAGCCCCACGTCAGGCTCTGCACTGACAGCCCAGAGCCTGCTTGGAATTCTCTCCCCCACTCCCTCTCTGCCTCTTCCCTGCTCTCTCTCTCAAAATAAATAAATACACTTAAAAAAAAATACAGATCGTTTTTGGGGTGCCTGAGTGGCTCAGTTGGTTAAGTGGCCAACCCTTGATCTCAGCTCAGGTCTTGATCTCAGAGTAATGAGTTTCAGGGTCTGTGTTGGGCTCCATGCCAAGTATGGAGCCTACCTAAAAAAATAGAGACGGTTTTTGTTTTATTGATTTTGAATTCCATAACTTTATAAACTCATCAGTTAGTTTTAGTAGTTTGTAGGTTGCTTTGATTATTCTAGGTACATATCACGGCATTGTGAATACACACAGCTGTCTATAAACTTATTTCTTTTTATTGTCTGATTGGGGACTTCGGAGGTTATTTTTAATGAATCACTAGATTAATTTTGGACTAGAGTTGTCATTTCTGAGTGTAATCATAAATATACACCATACTGAAGTTTGTTGTTAAAGAACTGTATCATAGGGGCGTTAAGCTCAGGTGGTTAAGCGTTGGACATAGGCTTAGGTCATGATATCACTGTTTGTGGGTTCAAGGACCATGTCAGGCTCTGTGCTGACAGCTAGCTCAGAGCCTGAAGCCTGCTTCAGATTCTGTATCTTCCTCTCTCTATGACCCTTCCCTGCTCATGTTCTCTCTCTCTCCCTCTCCCTCTCCCTCTCCCTCCCTCTCTCTCTCCCTCCCTCTCTCTCTTCCTCTCTCTCTCTCTCCCTCTCTCTCCCTCTCTCTCAGAAATAAATAAAACATTAAAAATTTTTTTAAAAAGAAATGAAGGAGGCAGATTAGAATGTTGTTTTTCAGTTGAATTAATCATCTTAGAACATTTATTTGGTAGGCAGAACCTAGATACCTCCTCTTTATTGAATACAACCAAATCCTCCTTGAGATAGCTGTTAGTAAGGTTGCCAGTGGTACCCAGAATCCAGAATAGGGTCAGATAATATTTCTTTATATCATTTAAACAGAATATTTAAGCTTAGCAAATAGTAGGCTTACCTCTCATTTTCTGGGCTTCTTCCTTGTCTGTACTTTTAGCCTTAACTGCTTTATAGTGGGCATTCCTCACAGTACACCATGTTCTTATGTATACATTATAATGCTTACTACAGTTTGAGAATTTTGGCATGGGCCATATATGTCTTAATTTAATACAGGTTAACCACACTTTAGAAAAAACTTAACATAAAAATCACAGTTTTTTATATGCATCATACAAGTGGTTTTTCTCTTAATATAAAAAGATTGCTGTTTATTTAAATGTGCCTTGGGACATTTGAAATATGATTTAACTCAGTTCAGAATTATGAATATTTTGCCAGCAACAAATATAGAACATTTGAACATTATACATAAGGTATGTTTGTGAAAACTCAATAATGAACAAAATCATTCCTTACATATTTTATATATAGTTTGCGACTGCCTGTGTTTGGCAAGTTGCTGGGTTGACATTTTCTGCCTCATAGTGGTGCTATGCTGTAATGACTGTATACCTACCTCTCCAGTGGAAAGAATATCTATGGGAGCTTTGGGGCCCATGGAAAAAATCCTGTTGTATGATTATGTTGTATAAGTGAGGGAACTCCTTGGGACTTTTAATTAAAATGTTTTCCAGTCAAGGAGTTGTGATTGAAATGAAAATATTTGAATGCCAAAGCTTGATAAAGATGCTTGCAAAACTATGTTAAGCAAATAAATGCATATGTTATATATTATATGTTGTATCACTTAAATTTAGCCTACAAACTGCTTTTTTATTAAGCTATTTCTGATGTCCAGTAATGTGGCACACTATATAATGATATTGGATTTGAGATTTTTAGAAGAAAAGTATATTTTATTGCCTTGTATTTTTTCTAAATTTTAAAATTTATAAAATTTAATCATTTTAAGCTAGAAGTAATTCACATTCTTCTAATGGTAGGATTTTTTTTGTATGTTAGAGGCATGGGATTTATTGTATATTTATGATCTTACATGTTTATATCACAAAAATTATTTGAAAATTTTAATTTTGTTTGTCACTTGGTGGTTGATATTCCAAGGGATTTTCTTTTTAAAAATGGGTGTTTTTTTATTGTTAAATACAGGGTGTATTTACTTCTGGCACATGGGAAGAGAAATCAGATGAAATTTCCTTTGCTGATTTCAAGTTCTCAGTCACCCATCATTATCTTGTACAAGACTCCACTGATAAAGAAGGAAAGGATGAAGTATTGGAAGGTAAATTGTTACTAATTATTTTTATTTTGTTTTGTTTTATTAATGTTTGTTTATTTTAACAGAGAGAGACCATGAGCTTGCAGGGGAGGGGCAGAGAGAGAGGGAGAGAGAGAATCCCAAGCAAGTTCTATGCTGTTAGTGCAGAGCCCAATTGGGGCTACATCCCATGAACCATGAGATTGTGACCTGACCTGAAAACAGGAGTCAGGCATTTAACCAACTGAGCCAACCAGGTACCCTGTGTTACTAATTGTTTTTAAACGAATGACTGTAAGAGTGATTGTAATTTTGAATTATGAATTTAGTTCTCTTGATTAAGTGCTGTCCTCTAGGGACACCTGGGTGCCTCATTCGGTTCAGCATATGACTGGATTTTGGCTCAGGTCATGATCTCACAGTTCATGGATTCAAGCCCTGCATGCATCACTGGAAGTGCAGAGCCTACTGTGTTTCTTTCTTCCTCTCTCTCTGCCCCTCCCCTTCTCTCTCATTCCAAATAAATATATAAACTTAAATTTTTTTTTTTTTAGAAAGTAGTGCCCTCTGGAGATGTTTTACATATGCAGAGTTGTTTTACCACATCTGAAACAGAGTATGATATTTTTTGTTTTATTTTCAGAGTATGATCTTTTTAGAGGAACAATTATAGCATCATTCACTTCAAAATGAATTAGATTAGCAAATATTTATTGAGTACCTAACATGTTGTAGGTACTTTGCTAAGCTCACTTGAACCCACAGTTATAAGAAATTTACATTTCAGTAAGGGAGATGTGGTCTATATATATATATATTTTTTATGCTATTTTAAATTTATTTCTGAGAGAGAGAGAGACACTGTGAGCAAGGGAGGGTCAGAAGAGAGGGAGACACATAATCCAAAGCAAGCTCCAGGCTCTGAGCTAGCTGTCAGCACAGAGTCTGACACGGAGCTTGAACCCATGAACCATGAGATCATGACCTGAGCTGAAGTCGGACGCTCAACCGACTGAGCCACCCAGGCACCCCAGATGTGGTCTATAAATAAGTAACCATAGTAGGAAGTAGAAAATGATAAGTTCAGTCCCAGAGCACAGATAAAGTACTTTAAATTTCTACTGAAGTTTAGAGGAGATGTGATCAGGTCTAATTGAGAGAGATAAGAGAAAGTGTAATAGAGAATTAAACAACTAAACTATGACTTGAAGGATTTAAAAATAAAAGTTACTCATTTATCAGGATACTGTTTTGGATATACCCCAAAATTTGTCAGATGAAGTGGATTAAAATTCTGGTTTTTCTTCTTACTAGTTACTTAACCTTTCCAAATCTGAATTATCTCACTTGAAAAGTGAAGTTATACCACCCAGCGGATTAATTGGAAGGTTTAATGAAATAGTGTATATGAGACCTATCTCAGGACTTGGTCCATGCTAGGTACTCAGTAAATAGTGCTTATGATGGTTGGCAATAGTTCACATTGCTCAAATTTCTGTAAATGGTGCTTTTAGTTCATAGGTCAAATCATCCAAAATCTCTATCCTGAGATAGAGTAGTGTATAATAGTGAGTCAGCAATGTGTTAAAGAAGTATTAATTTTGCAATTTTCAGTCAAATACCCTTCTTCACTCACTCAAAAAATAAGTATGCAGAAGGTGTTAAAGTTTCTCAGAGCATTTGAAGGCATCATGCTAAATGAAATAAGTCAGAGAAAGACTGATATTATATGATCTCTCTTATATGTAGAATCTAAAAAACAAAAACAAAACTTACCAAGCTCATAGTTAAAGAGAACAGATTGGTGGTTCCCAGAGATGGAAGTTGGGGGGTGGGCAACATGGATGAAGAGGGTCAAAAGGTTGACCCTCATAAGTAAGTCCTGGGAATGTAATTAATGTATAGCATGGCAGCTATAGTTAATAGTATTGTATTGTGCTTTTGAAAGTTGCTCAGAGAGTAAATTTGTATGACAAGAAAATGTTTTTTGTTAACTGTTGACAGATGTTGACTAGACTTATGGTGATCATTTTGCAGTGTATTCAGTTATCAAGTTGTTATGTCATATACATGAAACTAAGATAAAATGTTATATGTCAGTTATACTTCAATTGAAAAAATAAATTAAGGAAAAAAAGTTTTTCTGGTCAATACACATATTATTTGTAAGTGCAGACCTGAAATATTTGTGCCTTTTCTTGTATAGGAATAAAATTATATACCTTTTGTTTATTGGCATTCTTAGAAACAAAAGAAGTAGATAGCATCTGCATTCATAACTAGGACAGATCACATTGACCACATATACACATAAGTAAGACAATTTATAAAGCAAAATAAAATAATTAAATCAGAATAGAGTGTGTGTGTACTTGAGGAGTAAGGGTAAGAGGGATATATATGCAACTGGTCTGATAATAGCCCAGTGAGTTCCAGGTCTAACATTTTGCTCATTAATGAAGGAAACTGTTAAAGGTAGAGAAATCTTGAGGAACATCAAGGAGAAGCTGTTATAATAAGGAGGCTTAGAATCAGTTTTTTTTTTTTTTCTTAAGGTTTTTTTTTGTTTTGGGAGAGAGGGACAGAGAGCATGAAATGGGGAGGGGTAGAGAGAAAGGGAGAGAGAAAATCCCAAGCAGGCTCCATGCTGTCAGTGCAGAACCCAACATGGGGATTGGTCTCACAAACTGTGAGGTCATGACCTGAGCTGAAATCAAGTCAGACGCTCCACCAACTGGGACACCAGGAGCCCCAGAATCAGTATTTCTGAGATGAACTGTGGTCTGAGAGAGGATGAACAGATTTTAGTTAGTTTAAGTCATTATTGTGATATGTATGTATGTATCATGCATTTTGAATTTGATTGTGATTGAAGCTGTACCCAGTGGTAGAAGTTATAAGTGAACCATCAACTCATTTAATTTGGAGATACACATTTAAAACTATATTATTAGAGGCCATAAGATTTGAGCACTGATACTTAATTTCATTGGAGTTGTTTGTTGGCTTTAAAGCATCAGGTCATTAGTGTTCTTCTATATCCTTTTTTAAGAATTAACAAAATATAAATTTGCTAAGGAATTATGTCTGTACAACAAAAGAAGTGTTATCATAAACAAATATTTTTTATGCTTTGAGTTTATTATGCATTCATAAATAAATAAGGATCATTTATGACAGTATCTTAATATAAATTGCAATACAAGTGCTTAAAGATACATGGGTTATAAGTGGGAAGCTGGTTAGTGGTTTTATAAGAGCACTTAAGATGGCCCAGGGCCCACAAAGACTGGCCATAGGAAGTGATAAGGAGTTGACAGGACTCTTAAGTAGTTTTGAAGAAAAGTGTAGACAAGGGCAGACTGAGAAGAAGAGATAAAACATGGCTTTCTAGTAAGGCTGAGGAACTGTATGAGTCATGACATAGAAGAGAGGAAAATATAAACATAGGAACGATACTTAGAGGCTGGTGTTTTAGGAAAAAAGACATCGAGAGAGACATCTTTATTATTTTTTATTTTTTTTTAACGTTTATTCATTTTGAGAGGAGAGACAGAGCATAAGTAAGGGAAGGGCAGAGAGAGAAAGAGAGAGGGAGACACAGAAACTGAAGCAGGCTCCAGGCTCTGAGCTATCAGTAGAGTCTGATGCAGGGCTTGAACTCATGAACCATGAGATCATGACCTGATCTGAAGTCGGATGCTTAACCAACTGAGCCACGCAGGCCCCCATGAAAGAGACATCTTTTTCACCCCAAATCTTAGAGCTAGCCCTAGATATAAATCTTTAAGCAATTTCATAACAACATGGACTAGCAAGATGTGTTATGCAATATGATTTTTTTAAATCATGTTACAAAATTTTGCCTTAGAATGAACATACTAATTTTTTCATTATTAAATGTTTTTGTAGATGTTATTCCACAGTCTATGCAGGATCTGTTGTGTATGAATAATGATTTTCCTCCGAGAGCACATTGCCTGGTAAGATGGTAGGTATACATTTTACTCAGGTAACTTTTAGTATGTGTGTTGGGGAGACCCAAGACCTCCTGAAGGTTCAGTGATATGTCAGGAGGATGAACAGAACTCAGCCTGTGGTTACACTTACTATGATTTATTACACTAACAAAATCAATAGAATGAAAAGGTGCCTGAGGCAAAGTTTGGAGGAAGTCAAGTGTTTGAGTCCTTTCCTGATGGAGTCACACAGGACATACTTAATAATTCCCTTAGGAACAAGTTGTGACAACACGTATGAAATATCTACCAAGGAAGCTTGTTAGCAGCTCAGCTCTCAGCGTTTGTATTTGGGGGCTGGCACCTGCTGACTGGTACATAAGAAAATTTCAGATTCCCAGAAGAAAAGCAGGTGTTCAGCATAAACCACATTGTTTGTACATTTTAACCACAGTAACTCTTATTGGAGGGTTTTTTGAGAACCTTCTCCAAATCCAGATTCCTAGGTGCCTGCCAAAGGTCAGCCTTGCAAGCAGACCTTCTAAGGATAGTAGTCACAGGCCTACTGTTAACTCTTCTGCATGGTTTGTTTTATCATCTAGGGTAGAGCCTAACTATAATTCTGATGACTAGCATAAAACATTTGCATATTGTAGAAAACTTAATGTGTAGTGTTGGAAATTGAATTGAAATAAAATGTTGATCTCAGTTACACAATAACATCATAACTCATTATATCTAAATTGTAAATGTGATAGATTAATATAAGAGATACATCACACTTAAAAGGTCTGTATCTCATTTTGGTAGGGGTGGTGTTGAAGCATACCACTACCAAAATGTCTCAAGTATGAGTGTATGTTCAAGAAAGGACACCTAGTTAAAATACATTCATATTACTGGTTTTATGTTGGTCTGTTGGTGTGAGTTGGCCTCTTGATTTTTTATAAAAGAGTTTCTAAGAGAGAGGAAAATGATAGTATCTTTCCTTCTTTTTTTCCTCATTTCAGTGTAATTACTATAGCAAGAAGACTATGTAGCCTGCTTAAAAAAAAGAAATCTAGTTGCAGATGCAAATAAACTGGATATTGTTTCATAAATATGCCTGTCATTTTAGTGTGATCTTTTAAAAACTGAATTTAAACAAGTATAAGTGGAATTTAATAAATTACCATTTAATTTAATCCATCCAGATTCTCTTCTGATCTTTTAAAGTATAAATATATATATTTAAAATGACAAAATACATTGATAGGCAGCATATTATACAGCATGACTTTGCATGTACTCACTCAGTGTTAATTGAACACCTACTGTTTGGGCAGACACTGAATTAGACATACTTAAGTTTCATTTCTAGCTCGAATACTTCTTTTCAATTTGGGGCAGTTTTTCTGAGTTGGTTTCTATGTTGGTAAATACAGAGTAATAAATAATATACACCCTTAAGAGTAATTGTGAGGAGTAAGTAAGATAGTGGTACATAATGTTTATCACAATCTGAATGCTTTTGTATAATCTTTGCTTAGCCTTTTTTTTTTTTGCTTCTAGATAGACATGTATTTTGAGGGAACAGTATATAACCCATACAGTCCAACAACTGGTCCCCCCAATTTATGTCCATTCCATAGACAAGATATATTCATTCTGTTCAACTGTTAATTTCTTAAAACTGTGTTTGACACATAGTCCATAGTTTAAAAATATTTGTTGAATGAGTGAGTGAAACCTTTCTGTGTATTAATGAAGTACATATTAGTGTTGTATTTCTTTCTATATGTTAATGAAAATCTCTTGTTAGTAGTTTTTTTAACCTTTACATTTACTTTAAACAATTTTTATTTTTAAAATTAGTATACAGTAAAATTGACTTTTTTTTGATGAATAGTTCATTGAATTTCAACACATATGTATAAGGTTTTGTTTGTTTTAAATATTTATTTATTTATTTTGAGAGAGATAGAGACAGCACAAGCACAAGCAGGGGAAGGGCAGAGAGAGAGAGAGACAGACAGAGACAGGGCACTGTCAACACAGAGCCCGATGTGGGATTTGATCTCATGAACTGAGATCATGACCTGAGTCCAAACTGAGTCAGACACTTAATCAACCCAGTCACATACATGTTGCTATGTATAGGTGTCTTAAAACTACTGCCACAATAGTTCTCTACAGAACTGCCACAACAGTTTTGTAACTTCTGGAAAAAAACTCTTCTTGTCCATTATAATTTCTGGGCAATAATTGATATATTTTTAGTTTTGATAGTTTTATCCTCTCAAGAATGTCATAGAGATGGAATCATATGGTAACTATTTGAGACTAGTTTCATTTATTCCGCATAAAGTTTTGAGATCCTTTGAAGTAATTCTTTATCAGGTTTGTTACTTTTTATTGCTGAGCAGTATTCTCTTGTCAAGATATATGCTAGTTTGTTTACTCATTCAGTGCTTGAAGGACATTAGTATTGTTTTTAGGCTTGGACATTTACATTATAATTAAAAATTTTTAACGTTTACTTATTACTGAGAGGGGGAGACAGAGCATGAGCATGTGAGGGGCAGAGAGTGGGGGAGACACAGAATCTGAAGCAGGCTTCAGGCTCTGAGCTGTCAGCACAGAGCCCGACGGTGGGACTCAAATTCACAAACTGCAAGATCATGACCTGAGCCTAAGTTGGAAACTTAACCAACTGAGCCACCCAGGCACCTCTATGTTTATTACTTTTAAAGTTCATTTTTGAGAGAGAGAGAGAGCGAGAGCTTGCACACATGTGAGCAGGAGAGGGGCAGAGAGAAAGGGAGAGAGAATCCCAAGCAGGCTTCGTGCTGTTGGCACAGAGCCTAGCACAAGGCTTGATCTCATGAACTGTGAGATCACAACCTGTGAGATGAAATCAAGAGTGAGATGTGTAATTGACTGAGTCACCCAGACACCCCTAGGTTTCAGCATTTATTATTTTTTTTTCTTTTAATAGTTTGTCAAGTTGGTTTCCATATAACACCCAGTGCTCATCCCCACAAGTGCCCTCCTCCGTGCCCATCACTCCCCTTCCCCTCCCCCCCACACCCATCAGTCCTCAGGTTTTGGCATTTATGAATAGAGCTGTTATAAATATTTGTGAACAGATTTCTGTGTAAAAGTACATTTTTAGTTTACTGGGATAAATGCCTCAGGTGAGATTGCTAGTCATATGGTAGGTGTATATTTTTAACTTTATGAGAAATGACCAAAATATACTATTGGGACTGCATCAAAATAAAAAACTTCTGCACTGTGAAGGAAACAGCCAACAAAACTAAAAAGAAACACTCAGAATGGGAGAAGATATTTGCAAATGACATGTCTGATAAATGGTTAGTATCAAAAATATATAAAGAGCCGATACAACTCAACACCCAAAAAATAAATAACCTAATTAAAAAATGTGCAGACATGAACAGTCATTTCTCCACAAAGACATCCAGGTGACCAACAGACACATGAAAAGATGCTCATCATCAAAGAGATGCAAATCAAAACTACATTAATATACCATCTCATGCCTGTCAGAATGTCTAAAGTCAAAAACACAAGAGACAGTAAGTTTTGGAGAGGATATGGAGAAATATGGAATCCTTTTGCAGTTTTGCTGGGAATGCAAACTGGTGCAGCCACTGTGGAGAACAGTATGGAGATTCCTCAAAACGTTAAAAACAGAAGTTTGCTACAATCCATTAATCACACTATTGGGTATTTACCCCCCCAAAAACAGAAACACTAATTCAAAGGGATACATGTACCTCTGTGTTTATAGCAGCATTGTTTACAATAGCTAAGATATGAAAGCAGCCCAAGTGTCCACTGATAGATGAATGGATAAAGAATATATGGTGTGTATGGTATACACAAACACACACTGGTATTCAACCATAAAAAAGAATGAAATCTTGGCATTTGCAACAACATAGAGAGGGTATAATGCCATGTGAAATAAGTCAGAAAGACAAATACCATATGATTTCACTCATGGAATTTAAGAAACAAAACAAAAGAACAAAGGAAAAAAAAAGACAAACCTAGAAACAGACTCTTGATTATAGAGAGGGGGAGTGGGTGGGAGGATGGGTGAAATAGGTGATGGGGATTCAGGAGTGCTTTTGTCATGAGCACTGGGTGACGTATGAAATTGTTATATCATTGTACTGTACATCTGAAACTAGTATAACATTGTTAACTATACTGTAGTTAAAATAAAAACTTAATTTAAAAAAAGGAAAAAAAAAGAAATGGCCTGATTTACAGAGTGATTTACTGATTTACAGAGTGACTGAAAAATTCTGCATTCCTGCCAGCACTATATGCGAGTTCTAGTTGCTGTACATCTTCATCAACACTCAGTGTCAGTGTTTTCTATTTTAGCCTTTCTAATAGATTTATTGTCCTATCAGTTTATCAATATTTTGCTTTATGGGCCATGTTTTGGTGCTGTGTTTAAGAACTCTTTGCCCCAGGGCACAGAGGTTTCTGGTAATAAAAACAATAACAAAAAAAAAACCAAACACTTGAAAACAATTTTGATTTATTTTCGATTTACAGAAAGCTGCAAAGATAGTACAGACTGGTCTGATATACCTTCACCCAGTTTCCCTTAATGTTAACAGCTTATATTATCATGTTACGTGTGTCACTTTTTTTGCAAATGATTGTTCAGTTGTTCCGATATTATCTGTTGAAAAGAACTTCCTTTCTCTATTGACTGACTGTTGCACCTTTGTCAAAAATCATTTGGCCAGTTTTGTGTGGGTGTATGTCTAATTATTATAAGTCTTTAAATTAGTGTGATTCTCCAACTTTATTCCTCCTTTTCAAAGTTGTTTTGGCTTTTCTAGCTCCTTTGCTTTCCATTTATATTTTAGAATTGGTTTATCTATATCTACAAAAAGTTCCACTGGAATTTTGATTGTAATTGCCTTAAATCTCTAGACAGTTTAGGGAGAGCTGATATCTCTGCTGTGTTGACTCTTTCATTTGATGAACACAGTCTCTCCAG